TGAGTACAGAATCATGGCTCTAAATAATTCCAGGAACTCAAAGCAACTGTATTTTTCTTACTCTTGGGATCCTTCTGTTATAAAACTACTCGATTGAACTGTCATACCAACCCACCAATAACATTTATAATATTTTGTCAGAATTTATTTGTCTATGCTTATAGGCTGTGAGTACATGATGTCTTATTCATATTTATGCCTCTAACAACTAGCTTAAGGCTTGGCAGAGAGGAGGAGCTCAGTAGACACCTTTAGGATGAAATACCAAATGAGAATCCTTTAGGGGATATGCAGTTCCTGGCTCTCAGGATAGAACTCTGAATCAATTATTTAACATTTTGCTTATACCAGTGTTATAATGCTTTCTTCAATCTGCCTAATGTCTGAGTTGTCTATAACTCTCTCCCCATTTTCTTTTCTCCTTTGGGCCTAGACAGTACTGTATCCACCTCCATATGATTCCCCAGGAATGTAGCATAATAGTCAGGTTTTTTAGTACTAACGGTATATCATTGATTGAAAGGACTTTGGTAAATTGGTCTGAGGACCTGATTATGATTTAGAACACTGTTTTTATGGAGAAGCATTTGCAAATTTTAAAGTGAACTCTTACATGAGCCAACTGTAGGTTGAGTGTGGCTATACAATGCTACTTAGCCTATGAGATCTAATACCTGTGCAAAAAATAAAAATGTCAGTTAATCCTGATGATGTTTCTAAACATTTGGCTCAATCACATCCTGCAGGCACTATTTAATCAGATTAGCTTTTAAATTTGATGCAGATGGCATTTTTCAAATACAAAAAGGCCATAGTTATTTAGAAAGAACTTAAATATTATGTAAATTGTTTTGATAAAAATCACAAAAATGACTTTTGTGATTGTATTATAGTTATCTGCCCCTGAATAAAATAAATACATTGAAAAATATACTAGAAGGTAAATCTGTTAGGTCACTATATATTCAATTTCCATTATAATACTAGGATTACATTTTATCAGAGTAAAAAAATGGGCATAATACTTTTTTTCTTTGAAAACATGAGTATCTAATTCTAAAAATATTTTAATATGTTCAAAAAATTCACAAAATCTTAAAAAAATCCTAGACATGAAAATAAGCTATCATTAGAAATTTACCAAATAGATCATCTATAGCAGCCAGTCTCACTTTCCATGTGGTCACTGTAAGGATAATACTCTTTAATGTGTTATCATTCTGATGCAAATCTCACTCACATTTAAAAATTGGCCTCTAACTAATTACCTTATTTCAAATTCATGTTTAGAACTTAGCAATTTTCTCTTACTTCGGGAAAGTCCTTACTTTTTGCCTTTCCCCTGTAATAACAACCATGTCATTCGTTAGTGGGAAGATACAGCTCCAAATAAATTGAGGCAAGGCAAGCATCTTTTCTTGTTCTGCTTGGGATCGTGGTTCTTAATACTTCCTAAGGTCATACTGGTTGAAGTGGAGCCAGAACAACTGAGTTCCAGCTGGGCTTTACCATTTACTTCCTATGTGACTTTAGACAGTTAAGCAAAGTCTTTGAGCATTCGTTTTCATGTCTGTATAACGAAGAGTACTGTGGGTATGAAAATATTAACCTTTGTAAAATGCTTAAAACAGCACTTGGCTCAAGTAAATGTTGGCTACAATCATTATTTTATATATGTAAGTATAATAATATAAATATTATGATTTATATGATAATATTCCAATTCACCTTAAATCTAAAATTAGATATTTTAGCAAAATTTTTAGTATTGTTGTTGTTAATGATGTTTCCTAACAATTTCTAAATTCCATAGCCTGTAACAAATTTTTATGATCCTCTTCATGAATTTGTATTAATTAACCTTTTAAGTATGAAATTGTTTAATGTACTTCTGTATGCAAGACATCTCTCATTTTTGAATGATAACTGTGATTCTTCAGTTAGTGATTAAAGGTGCTTTTTTTTTATTGGACTCTACATTATAAAAAAATCCTTGAGTACAGGACTTGTTCTGTACTTTTTGTATGTATTACTTTCTAGTTACGTACTCTTCTCCTTATACATATTTAATAAGTAGGAAATGAATAAATGAATGTGTTAGTGATATTAAATGAGATGGTGAAGACAGATATGATTCAACCTATGGCAACAGGCACTCTTTAAGATTACATAGGAGGGAGGGTTTGGCTTTCACTGGCCAAGAGGCCCCTGGTCTTCCACACTTGATATTCTGCCTCACAAACTGTATTCGCTGTAAAGAGCTGGGGGAAATATATATATATATATAGAACAGGGAGGAAATAAGCAATAAAAAAGAATGGGCTATAGATCTAAACTATGAAGATACTTGTAGTATGTGACTACAAAATTTAAGACTGCTCTGCTCTAAAAAGTTTATTTTATCACTTTGGGAGTAACAAGGCCATAAAGTCTTACCTTAAAAAAAAAAACAACACTCTGAACTTAAAAAAAATCTCACATATAACACATTTTTACTTTCTGCTCCTCTGAAGTCCTCAAGAAAATAATGGGTATCATGCTTGTATGCAAACTCCACTTGGTGAATATAAGCAAATCTATAATAATATTACCTTCTGAAATAAATAGAATATCTTAACCTTATTTATTTACCTTAGAAGGCACCTGAAGTATTTTACATTAAGTGTAAGGATTTTCCTTAGGAATTAGTTTCTGAGAGATAACAAATTTCAAAGGAACTAATTTAAAAATACATTAAGGGACTATCTTACAGGTTTCCTAGATTTTACCAGTAATTTTAACTACTTTGAATATATGTTTATATATATATATATATATATATATATACACACACACACACACACACACACACACACACACACACACACATACTGGTCTCTCTAGAAAACTCATTTCAGATTTTTCTAGAAAAATTCAAGAAAAAAATTTGTTTTCAGTGCTCTAACCATATCATGCCATTTTTTTTCCCTAGCAGTCTCATTTTTATCACCTTCCTTAAAATCAAAAGGGCAGGCTGGTGGGCAGGTGGTGTTCATAGTCATCCCAGGGCATCAACAAGGAAGTTTTAAAAGCTAAGGAGAAAGCATTGGATAAAATAATAATTTCTACTGATCCCATCTGAATATTCAGAAAACACTAGGCTTGAAAAAAACAAACTACGAGATTTCAAGAAAAGTGAATATGGAAACAGTTCCAACTGATACATGATTGATCCTCAAAAAAAAAAAAAAAAAAAAACAAGAGAAAAGACGATATGAGTAGCAGAACACTCACGCCAGACAGTAGAGTGATTTCATGGGGTCAGTGCCTATGAATTTGTGTATGAGGGATATTTGGGAACTGTAGGAAAGGTGAAGGTGAAAGGTGGAAGAAACCAAAGAGAACTGCCAAGTGATTCATTCCTTTCTCCAAAAGTCTGACTAGTGCCAGAGAAGGTAGAAGAGCATATTAGATAGAATCCTACTTGGTAAACAAGGGGTTTGAACCCAGTGCAACCCAATGAGGGAGGAGATTACAGGATTTGCTTTATGGGAGCATATTAACTCTTTCAGGTGCTGAGGATACTTCTCAGAAAGCCTATGTTGCCATACAAGGAAGCACTTTATTCATGTCCTATGTTAAAAACACTTCAAGCAGCAATTAAATGCACATACACATGCATGATGTGCCAAATTACTGAACTGTTTAAGTTCTGGTTAACTTTAGAACAAACAATTCTAGTCTAGATGTCTGTAGTTTTAATTCATGTATTATAAGTTAAGCTTTGGATAACTTTGCATTTATTAATACACACACACACACTCACACACACCCACACATCCATCCACATACACAATCCCTAAAGAATTACTTAAAAAAAAAACACTTTATTATGATGTTACCCTCTTTTCAAAATCTTTCCTGAAAGTTATTCAACACAGAGAAGTAAGACTTTAGATCTTGGACAGAAATCTACTTTTTGCTTGCCCTATGAAATGTAATATCCTGATTGATGTTATTGGTAAATAAACAAGAGATCTCTGTCCCACACAATACTAAACATTTTAAAACAATAACCCTAAAATGCTTACTTTTCCTTTGACCTGGGCTTAACAATATCAGATTCCCTACAAAATTCAAGACCCAAATCAATGAAAAAATAGAAATGTGAAATTCTATTTCAAATATTGACATTATTGCATAACTTGATTAGAAGGGATGTTGAACCTGCGTGAAGTGAACCCAGTGCACATCTGTGCATACTAAACTGTTCCAGTGTGATCTTGTATTTATTATTATTTATTGTAAAAACACTTGTGCAGTCATAAATGTTGCATAAATGGCATGTTTGTGCATACTGCACACTGACAATTTTTATGAATGGATACACATAAATGCTCATAATTTGAGAAAATGGATGGCAGCATACTATTTGAGAAAAGTCATTAAATATTGGCAGCAAATGATGAGGCAAATGGAGGGTGTCTTTTGGTGCCATTCTGGGCAACTGTATTCTCAAGTCCCCTAGCAGAGTGTGTTGGAAACAGCCATGAAGCTTTCTCCTTAGAGACCTGCTCTCCCTCTCAGGATTCGTGCTACAGAGACCTCGACCGCTTGAGAAATAAAATGCATGCAGATCTCGGTTCTGAGAACTGTTCATACACCAGAGACATCACACTCCCTAAATCCGGTCCCACAAGTGTGTGCATGTGAGTATGGCATTTACCAACAAATGAACAGAAGGCAACAAGAGCTCATCTCCTAGAAATAACATTTCTCATCCCTTCCCAGTCAGGCTGCTAGGAAGCTTTCCAGGGGCTAACACTTGCGTGCCTTCCCCACCGGGAAGGAGCCTTACATTAATAACCCTGTCAGGGCTAAGTCAGCTTTGTGTGTAAGTCCACTCGGCGCCATATGGCAGTTTCCAATTCCTTTAGCAACTCAAGTCTGGCTAGGTTGCAGCGATGATTCATTTTTAAAGGAAGACCCCTTCGGGAAGCAGCAATGCCCCCGCCACTTACCTAGCTCCCACAGACCCCTCTCAGCAGGCGGCAAGGGCTCGGGCGCCACAAAGGGCTGTGGGATTCCCCGCTCCCTCCGGGGCTCCTCTCCCTGCGACGGTCCCCTTCGCCAATGATCTGTCGCTGGAAATCCCCCTCCCCTCCACAGAGAGGAGGGTCTCCCCGGCTGGCTGGAGCTCCTGGCGGTTTTCCCCCTCTCTTTACATCCCTGACTCTGGCTCACAGTCTCTAGTAGCAAGGCTCAAAGGAGAGGCGGCGGGAGGAAGCTAAGGCATCCTTAAAAAGAACAATAATCTTCATCGATCTTCACCCCCTTCCCCGCGTGGGGTCCCCATCCCCCTGCCGCCGCCCAGAGAAGAGAGGGCTGGAAAAGAGAAGGAAAAATCGAGCGGGGCTGAGCTCGCCGCGCGGAAGGAGCCGGAAAGGCGAGTCGCGCCAGCCCGGGAGTTGCCGCTCGCTCCGGCTGCCCGAGGCACGGCGGGGGCGGCGGGTGGTGGG